TAACCTTAAAGCTGAATTTATTCAAGCATCTGGCAAGGCGACATAAAATGCGATGTAAAATTTACCTTCTGTATGAAATAAAACAAAGTACAGGTTGCCTAAAACAAACTTTCGCATGAAATGATACAAAATATCAATTGTTTTTTCAAGCCAACTCCTTTCGAAAAAAAAACTAATTGATTGCACGACCCGTTTCGTTCTTTCATGTTTCGATGAACCAGTTTGAACCATTAATAGTCTCTTGTGAAATTATGATGAAGAACATTGGCCTTTTACTGTGCAGTTGGCTCAATCAAATGAACCATCCAAATTAAGCATGGTAAAAAATCAGTCAGAAAGAAAATTATATCAACATGAAAAACAACGGGAAAAGTTTTTTTGTTCAGAAGATTGTGATTGATGTTTTCGCAATTTACAATTTTCCTTCGAAATATACCAACCAATTGTCTGCCCTAGTCGATAGAGGCTGTATATCTTGCAAGATCTTGCAAAGTTCTTGCACATGATATTTATCGTGCAAGAGCTTTCAAGATACTGTTTATTTTGCAATATTCTTGCAAGCCAATGGCTATCTTGCAACACAGCCATTCTTGATCGACTAGGGTATGTTATATTCATGGATAATTTGTAGGTCCATAGTAAATCCATAGTCTAGACAGGGTTTAAAGTCTCGAACAAACTCTGAAAATACTGTGATCGAAAGTTCAGTCGCGGCGATTGAAAAATTAGTCGAGGCATGGTAAAAAAAAATTCGCGGCATGGTGGAAAAACGCAAGGCGTTTGAAAAGTTAGTCGCGGTGGTCGAAGAATTAGTCGCGGTGGTCGAAGAATTAGTCGCGGTGGTCGAAAAAATAGTCGCGGCGGTCGAAAGAATAGTCGCGGCGGTCGACTAACTTTCCTTCGGTCGCGCCGGTCGCGGTGAACTTCCTTTGGTCGCGCCTGTCGCGTCTAACTTTCCTTCCGTCGCGCCGGTCGCGTCTAATTTTCCTTCAGTCGCGCCTGTCGCTGACATATTTCCTCGGTCCGCAAAGTCTGGATACACCGAAATTTGGTCGCTGCGGTCTGAAAATGTCCAGTTTCGTTCGCGGCATTCTTGAAATACCAAGAATTGGTTGCGACCGTCTGATCATAAAACCACAACCTCGACCCAGGCAACATAAAAAAGTCTGAGTTTCGTTTGCTCTTTGCTAAATTTGACTCTCAAAAAACTCAAATTAATTTTTCTCGACGCTGATTAAATTTTGATATTTTTATATAGAAACCATCTCGAGTAAAAAAAAGCTTCAACAACAATTCAAAACTCGATTTCTGCATAAAAGTTTTCTCCATATCATATAAAAAAACCCAACATAATAATGAATGAAGGGCGCTCAAAATTTTTTTTGGCTGAAAGTAAAGCAAATGAGTCGCCATACATCTAAAACATAGATTTCCACAGTCTTTTTTTCTCTTTTGGTGTCTCATGTGAACACATACGAGTTTTCATTGAGGTGAGTAAAATTGGGGGCAAAATCTACCTTTAGCCATAGTTTCTTCTACCTCATGTCAAAGACGTTAGCTCAAACAAAGCACTCAGTTATCCATCTCATCAATAGGATATTTATTGTCTTCCTAAAAAGGTCTGTTACCCTCTTATTCTAACAATTAGTCAATGATTAGTTTTATTATGAAACTCATCAATCATCGATTTATGAAATATTATTCGATTCGCCTTATCCAAATTAGTATATGCTTCTTCACCCCGGGTTTGATTGTTACAGGGCAAAGGGCCCCGCTAACAATCATGTATTCTTTTAATTTGATCTGTATTTTTAGGGTTCCAATCCGTGTTTTCACAGATCACCGTTTATATTATGAAAACTGCGAAGCCTCGTGCATAAAAACAATACTCGTTCGAGGGAATTGGTTTTTGTTATAGTAGCTGTCACATGAAGCTTAAGTTACTCGCCATAATAAATCCATAGAAAACTATTTTTGGTTTCTCGAAGAAAAAACGAAATAAAGTAAAAGATTTATTATTATTGGACTTATGACTATGAGGGAATTATATCGGTCAAAATGTCATTTGAAGAACATGTTTGATAAAAATGTGAACTAATCAAATGAATTTGTTTGAACCAAATTCATTAAATCAATAAACCAAAAAGAACTTGTTGTCACACACAGAGCTTTGTGTTGGTTCCAGGCCCATTGATGCAATTGCAGTTAAAATTATTAAAAACAATGTTTCATTCCAATCTTTATACGTGTATAATTGTTGTTCTTCTAACCCATCAAAATAGAAAATGTTTTAAATTCTGTAAAAATGCTTCTGATTTGCAAAACTATGAATTCCAAAAAAATTGTTTTGAAATTTTTTTGTACAACTAACCACTAAACCAAAAACAGATGATGGTCTGAGAATAACCAAGTAACACCATGAAGTAAGCCCATGAAACCTAAAAAATGAAGTTTTTGAAGAAAAACCTGCGTTTTTTTTTTTTACAAATAGTGATCCGCCTTGAAATCAGTTTTTATAAAATTATCTGAAAAAATTTCTCCCGAGGTCGGTTTGTTTTGCCTGAGTATCCATGTATACAAGAAAACAAAGATTAAACAAGACTGCTCGTAACAGGGCGAAGCCCTGAATGTTCCGACTGCCTTTTAAGGTTTATGGAGCAGTAATAACATTAAAAAATTCAATGAAATAAAAAAAATGATTTTTTTTTTCTAAAATTTGAAATTTTTTTATGAAAATCATCCCCCCACACGCCATATAAAGTACAAAAGGATAAATTTTGCTCCTTGTAACAAACCAATTATGGCAAATCAGCTTCTTTTAACCAATTTGGAACGATTTCTAAGACGGATTAACTCTCCGCTTACGCGTTAATAGCGCGAAATATCGCGCGTTAATTGTCCCAAATTGGCCAAAATTGCAATCTTTAAACCCCCGTAACTTTACGAAAAATGATCACAGGTGAAATATCTTTTCAAATTTGAGCTCAAGACAACAATACCTTTTGAATGATATAAAAAAATTCCGTCAAAAATGGCTAGTTAAAAAGTCGAAATTTGTCTGAAGAAAAAAAAACCCACCCCGAGCACAAATATTCCGTTACTTTCGTATCGAAAGTCGGAACAAAAAGCTATTGAAGAAAACGCAGCTTACACTTTATTGTTTAATTTTGGTTGAGGAGCACTCTCATTTCTCAAATGAAGTTTAAAAACTAATTTACAAAGCTGTAATATTTATTCATAAAGTGTTATTTGTCCTTTGAGTAGAAGAACATATAAGATGTTTCTATGTTTGTTTTCCATAAATTAAATCATAAAAAATGATGGAAAGATGTCATTTAAGTCAATCTGGGTGAACTAACTGGAAAGATATGTTTGAACAACCGTCCTGTTCAAACATTTGTATAAAAAGAAATGAACTCGGTCAGTTCAAGAGTGAATTAATAATAATCTTAAAAATTATAATTATGGACTTCAAACTGTAAAAAGACTAGTTTAACATAACAATTGATTTGGATTTCTTAAATTTGATATGAAACGAGCTAGCGTCTATTTTTTGCTTCTTTTGTAAAGAAAAAAATGTGCCATTTTTTTGGTACTCTCTCAACTCTCTGATAACTTAAAAAAGTTATCAATTAAAAACTTTTTGATAATAATTTGATAGAGTTATCAAAACATTGTCAGAAGTTCAAGCTAGGTCTAAGTGAGCAATCTCGCCCTTACCCAGTAAATTTTCTAATACAGATCTGAAATAATCATTTTCAGATCTAAATTTCAGATCTGAAATATGATGTGAAATGTTTAAATAACGCATGGATACGCTAAGGATGGGCTATTTCAGATCTAATTTCAGATCTGAGAGTTTGTTTTTCTTGGTTATTTCAGATCTGAAAAAAATCTATTTCAGATCTAGTTTCAGATCTGAAATAAGTGATAACGGGGAGAGTAAGTGATTCGATAAAAACAGGGGTAGACTTGGTAGGATGAGTAAGTGATAACTTATTCGTACCCAGTATACGGGGCTAAACTCGGTTGCGGGGGGGGGGGGGGGGTGTTGTAAACTGGGGAGGGGGGAAAACTGGGATGCATTGAATAATGGCCTGATTGATTAATTTAGAACATCTAAATTTTTTAGATCAAGTCTAGCTGTTTTTAGCCTTTTTTGATCTAACTTAAAATTTTCAAGCTCAACAACCCATGTAACAAAACCTGAAGAATTTTCAAAATCAATTCGAAGTTTTGAAATTTTCGATTTTTATCAAAAAAAAATAAATTTCAGATCTGAAATTTGTTAATTCTTATCTAGGATCTGAAATAACGAATTTCAGATCTGGAAAATAACTTATATAAGAAATAAAGGGTTTCAGATATTGTATCGAAAATACACTGGGTACGGGCGCCCTTCATCAATTTAGGGTAAAAGTCAATCACTTTTTAAATTTAGTTCAGAGTTCAAATTTTGATTTTGCCGTATAAGAGGGGAGGCGGTCGGGATTCACTTGGTTAGTATAGCTGGAAAATTTTTTCTCACGGGAGTCAAGATTTATGTGAGCCAGTCATTTGACAAGTTTGTCCTAGGTAAGTTTTGTTAAGACACTTTTATCAAGATTTATGTAAGCTAGGTCATATAATAAATTTGTCTTAAGTACGTTTTGTCAAGATATTTTTGTCAAGATTTATGCAAACTAGGCCATTAAATAATATTGTCTTAAGTACTTTTTGTTAAGACAATTTTGTCAAGATTTATGTAAGCCAAGTCATTTGATAATTTTCTCTTAAGTACGTTTTGTTTAGACAATTTTTTAAAGATTTATGTAAGCCAAGTCATTTGATAATTTTCTCTTAAGTAAGTTTTGTTGAGACAATTTTGTCAAGATTTACGAAAGCCAGACCATTTGACAAGCTTGTCTCAAGTAATTTTTGTTCAGACAATCTAGTCAAGATTTATGTCATTCTATAATTTTGTCTCAAGTAAGCCAGACCAAATGTCCAGTTTGTTTCAGCTGGAGTCCGGAGCGACATGGGAACATAGGACGTATAGATCTGCAAGTGCGTGAGATGTGGATGCCAGACATCATCTTCTTCACCCAGCTGACGGGGGAGCACTTCAACGAGGGGTTCCCCTCCCCTCCCGCTCTCCTCTCCAATGGGATCACTATGGTGCTCAAGCCATTCAAGGCAGAGTTGGTGTGTGTCATGGACGCCTGGTACTTCCCTTACGACAGACAGGTCAGTTCAATTTCCTGAAGATTTGAAGGATAAAGTTTCGAATAAATCTATGAGCTAACTGTTTAAAACATGAACGAGAGAAAAAGAGCTTAAAGTACTGTCTACTACGAGTTGTTGTGTCAGGTTGTCGTCTTCAAACAAATGTCGCTTTTGACTAGTTGTTACTGTACGCGATTTTTGCAATTCATTTCTTACCAGCAGAATTTTTTCGAGGTCTGGACATCAGTCTGGTCATAAGAAGACAATGAACTTGACAATTGCATCGGGGTAATACGCTCGCCAATCGAGCGTGAACTCTATGAGTGAACAAATTACAAATGGATCTTGAGGACCAGAATCTGATAAGCTTTCGCTCAAACTATTACTGTGCTAAAAATAAAAACTGTGCTAAAAATAAAGCTGTCAGTTAAGATTCTCATCAGTAGTTTTGATTTTTCAAGAGAAAGCCTGAAAAAAAAAACTGAAAATCTGGTAGAACTTAAGTAGTGGCTGGATTTGATTGCATTTATTTTGCAAAATGGTTACCAAAATTGGAATCCACATTTTTTTTTTTCATTTTTAAAAAATACCATTAATTTTTGTAGTTAAAAAAATGATTTTGCAGCCGTGCAATTCTTTACTGTGGTCTTTTTAAAAAAGACATTTGGGCAGTTTTTGAGAGAAGATTCATTTATGAGTTAGACTGGATTTCCTTAAAACAGAAGGTAGGCGTACATATGAAGGAAATTTCATAATTATTTAATGAAGCATATGATTGAAAAACGAAAAACGTGCTAGGTTCATCCGGAAGTTTACATGACGCCAGAATTTTATGGCATTGTACTATTATTTTTTACCAAATGTCGCATTAACTATTAATAAATCGGATTTTTTGGCGACAGGAAACTTGTTTGGATCAAAAAACATTTTGTTTGTCGTATAAATAATTTAAGCAAAATGGGATGCCTTTATTTTACAGACGTAAGACGGGCATATTCCCTGGTTCACTTAATAAGCTATGTAGGGTGAAGTATTAAGTTATTAAAATTAGATGGAGGGCAGTGGTTGTCTCCAAAAACCACTTTACACACTTATTTTATAAATCTAGAATAAATCTTTGTCCATATTTTCTGTTGTATAACCTCAGCCTGGTTATATTTTGAGAGGCTATGAAACAAAGGTGGACATAAAAGGTTTTGGAACCGATTGTTGTAGCGACTTCAAAGCTGCCGAAAATCAAATAAGAGTGTTTTATGTTTGTCATGTTTTTAATTTAGACATTTTCGACATTGATTTGACTGAAGATTCTGTTTGGTTTTGGATCCTAGCTGAAAGAAGTGTCCAATTTATTTCTTAATCCAAGTTCTGTTTTATTTCAGAGCTGTTCGTTCGAAGTGGGCTCGTGGGCGCATTTCGCCTCCGAGATAGACATCCGACCAAAGGAGGAGGGTCCAGCTGACATGAAGTTCTTCCAACCCAGCTCCGTGTTCGATGTTGACACATTCCAGGGACAATATGTCACTTATAAAGGTAGACATCATTCCTGTATTAATACGAGAGATGATGAAGTGACGTATTCGCTTCTCAGTCGAAACTTCGTTGGTTCGAGCCCACCATGATGCGTGTGTGTTGCCCGCAGATACGGCAAAAATTCTCACCCCAGAAAATAATCAAAAAAATACATATAGTTCTTCACCGTGAGTACAACAGCAGTTCTCTGTAAACTGCTGAAAATCTAGTAAACTTATTAAGAGTAATGAACGTAGTGAAGACTCTTATATAGGTCTTGGTGATTTTGTTTTTTCGTTTTTTTTTTCATGAAAAAGTCTAAAAATGTTCTTATAACTACAGGTGTGCAAACATATTAAAGCATCTATGAATGCACTTAGATATATATGCACTTTTTGAGTTCAATTGAAATTCATCTGGTGTAAGTGACGTAAATAGCACTCTCCAAATAGGATCGTGGAAATGGCGCAAAAAAACGTCAACACATTCTAGTTTCGAAAGTGGAACTTAATTTTTAGATTTCCAGCGGAATAAAAACGTTACCTTTTGATCCAGTTTTCTAAAGTTGGGCTAATGTTATCAAAGTTGCGCCAAGCTTAAATTTTCTAGAAGTTCAAATGCTTTAAAGGGCAGGTGCAATTAAGAAACGTGAAAAAAAATGATCATTATGGATTGTCGTCGTCTAAAAAATTGTCAATATTTTCCATTCCTTTTTTAAGCTCAGACAACTAAATTGAACAAAAATTGATTTAAATCCATTTTTTCTTGCACAAACCTAATGCTTGATAATTTATTTGAAATCCATTATATTGGATTATATAATAAGAAGAAAATCACATGAAAATGGAATCTTTTCCATTTTATATTTGTTTCGCGTCGTGCAAAATTTAGCAAGAATTTATGCATTTATCAAATGAGTTATGCAGAAACTTTGCAAAGAGAGTGACCGGCTTACTCCGTTTCTAAAACTAACATCAAATTGCAAAAAGATTCCGTCCCCCCCCCCCCCCCCCGGCCCCCGCCTTAACGATTGCCCTTTTACTCCATTACAAACCCCATGCCAACGTTTGACCCTTTGCCCCCACATTTGAGCCATCCCCAACATGACCACCTGAGACATCCTCCGACTTGAACCAACCCCCTCCACCTAAACTACCACCCCCTGAACAACCACCCCCTACACCCTACCCTCCTGAACCATCCCCGCACCTGAACCATATATTTAAAAAGTAGCAAAAAAATCAAAGCTGCCCAGAGAAAAGTTAAACTGAACAACAATTTTCCAACTTTAGTTTAATATGTAGATAATTCTATGTGCGTTGAAATTCACATGACAATAAAGTGGAAAAAAAACGATTATAATTGATTTTCATTGTCAGTGTCCACAAAAATGAAAAAAAAAAAACATAATGGATTAAAAATGGATTTGGTTGCCTCGAAAACTAGTAATATTATAATTCATTTTCAATTTGATTACAATCAATTTTTTTTCTTCATTTTTGTGCACACTGACAATCAAACTCAATTATAATTGATTTTTTAAATCATGAAACTCCAAAGCGTTTGTTTTTGTTTCTGTTTACTTGCGTTCATTACTCTTTTCCAACAGTCAATTGGCTATATATTTTTTCTTTGGTTGGTAAATTGTCTTAAACTAGGAGAATATTTTACTAAAGAAGTTGTTTCTCTCTCTTTATCAATCTCTCCCTGTGGTAACAAGAACCGAATCTGCAGTTTTCCAAAAAAAATCAACGGTTAAGCATTTTAAAATATTGAACTTAGTAACGAACTTAAGCTTTTCCAATACAAGATTGATCAGAGCTTCATAAACTGTTTGCGGGAATTCACGAAATAGTAAAGAGAATTCATTGGCTCACAAAAAAGTTCTAATTTATCGTTTTTAAGTTGTTTCTGAGCTGAGAAAAGACGCTTGCTTTTGAAGTTAGCCCCTTATTAGATTTTATAGCACAACGGTTATTATAGAATAGAATAGAGTAGATTTAAGTTTGAACCTAACTTTGTTAATTTTAGGAAACCTTACAGGTATTGGAAACTTATTTTAAAGCGTTTTTTTTATCTCACAAGATAGTACCATTACAGAATTCCACGCTGAAAAAAATATTTCAAATTCTGAGTCGAAACAAAAAATTAGTGAGTCGTTGCAGTCCATATTTTTCAAAAACTTCTGATCATCACGTTTAATGTTAGATTTTAATCAATTTTAGATACCAATGTTGCGAAAGGTTTGTACGTGCAACAACTTCCGCGGCGTTTTCAACTTCGGTGTTGCTTTGGTCCAAGTTGCAATCTGTTTTAAATCACGCTTCCTCAACTGTTTTCAACTCAACTGTATAGTTCATTTAGTTTTTTATATATTTTAATTTGCTCGTTGTGATTTAAACCGAGAGGTGAAAGTCAATTGAAAAAAATAAAAATTAGCCTTTTTTGTGAGTCCGAAAACATTTTATAGATATTTTTCCGACCAACCCTGACAATTTTTTTAAAAAAATCTAGCCTTTAGTGTGTTTTTTCATGCAACTGTAGGTACCACAATCATATGTCTGATGAGGTTGAGTGATTTATCAATCTAAATCACTCAAGCTGTGGTTCAAGTTTCAAAAACAAATTTCACAGAAAAAATGCTTTGAATTTTAATTTTTTTTTCTACAAGGATTGGAAATTCAAACACTGCAAACTTGTTTCTATCATGGATTTTTTGATAGTGTATTCACTAATTTTATTTTTGTGAGAAAATTTTTTTGCCAAAAATAGGAAAAAGGAGGAAACGTGATAAAATGTATGATTTCATTACTTTAAATTTTTAATTTTTTTAAAAAAATAGATATGAAATCAATGTTAAATGAATAATGGGAACTGATTTTTTGGCAGACCATACTTTTCGCTTAAAAGAGAAAATTGAGTCTTTTAGCAGACCAACTGAATAAAAATAACGCATCATTGAGTCAAAGTTATCTATTTAAGACAATTATCTCATGGTTTGTCATCAAAACTTCAAAAAAAGAATCTGAAATAGTGACAAAACAATGAATCATGCGTACAATAACTTTTATGCCAAATGTAAGCGCAGCGGAGGAAATGGTTATGTTGCAAAAAGTAAACAAATCATAAATTAGACTTGTCATATAGTAAGCAAATAGTTTTTAACGAATCAGAAATTAGACAAGAAACAAACGTACAAAAATAGTTTTTGTTTCGACTAATTGAAAAATGGAGAGGAACTTTAAATATGGGGGTTTTTTAGTTTTTTTCTCGTTTTTAAATTTTTTTCCTTGCGAAATCAGCTAACACAAATAACCATTGTAGAGATTTGAATGTGATAAATCATATCAAAATCCTTAAAATTGTGATTCGAGCAAACAACATTGAAAAATTTCGAAAAACATTCCCAGTGTCGAGAAAAACCTTTGTGAAATTTTTGTTTTTCTTCTTACTTCGAGCAAATAAAGCGAGCGAGCAAGCGTACAATAGCTTATTTTAATGGCTTAAAAGTTAGTTTTTTGAGTATTTTAGCGCTTTTTTGGAATCACATTTTTTCAAAAATTCATAAAAATGCAAAAATTTTCGATCTTTTTTGTATCTTTCAAAACTAATGCTAATTGCTAGTGTTTCAAAACTAGAACTAATTGCTAATAATTTAAAACTAATGTTTTTTTAAACTAATGCTAATTGCACAGTAACCGGCTGTATTTGTTTATTCTTGCGTATTCTTTTTCCTTCTCTCGTTTTGAATAATTTTATTATTGTCTACTTTTAACGAAAAAGAAAAAAAAGTGTTTTCTACGTTTCAATCAAGATCATGCCTTTTTATTCACTGTAACACAGCACAACAGTGTTTATCCAAAATTCGTGGCTTCGTTTTAAGAGTCTGATTTCTAAATTTGCCAGAAATTTTTTTTTGTTTACGCTGGGAAAACTCTTAAGTACCAATACATGGAACCTACATAAATGTAGACAACGCTTCTGTTTAGAAATTAAGAGAGAAAAATCTTTTATTGATAGATTGATAAAAACTAAAAACTCTGACAAGCCATAGATTTGAAAAAATAAATACTTTTTCTATTACAAAATGCATTGCTGGGGCCTAAGAAATTGAGCGACAAGCGAATTAGACGTGACCAAAATTGTATTAAGATGTCGATGCAAAGCTACAATTATAAGAAATTAGACGTAATTGTTTTGTTAGAGAGTCTGAAACTGGTTCAAAAACACAATTATTTTTCTCTGACTCTAATTTGCTTTCGTTTTACCTGTGTTTATTGCAAATCAGTTTTTCATCTGTCGCAATTGTATCTTTCATGCATTCCAAAAATGTTTAATAAACCTTATTTTTCTGTGTTCTTTGCTTGTCATCCAAAAAACTCAAGGCTAAATTTCTTTTTATTATTCACGCCTAGTTTTTTTGGTCTTTTTTCTTGTCACCCTGCTTTGCTTTTGTCGATAAATAAAAATTTAGGAAAAACCCTATCTTGATCGATGCACGAAAAATTAATACTCAGAAAGGCCATTAGCACGAAAAATGGAGAAACAGTTAACATAAATTTAATTAAAATTTATTCATGCATCAACAAAAGTAAAACATTCTTCTGAGCAGCAAAAATTGTAATGGTCACAAAAAACGTGATCGACTTCTTATTTCGAAAAAGGAAATTAAATTAATTATTAGATTTCCCAGCGAAATACAAGTTTTGCCTATTGACCCAGTTTTATCAAATCGGGCTAATTTTAACAAAAAATTGTCCATCATCATCTCAAAGAACTTTAAGTCCATCTATTTTTGTTTCTTCGAAGTTCAAAGTTGAAGGTTTTGAAAAACAAATCAGAAATCAGTTTTTTTTTCAGTTTCCTTGAGCTAATTACTCTTTTCCAATTATCATTTGGCTATGTTTAATAAGTTTAAATTTACTGTAGAAAAAATTAGTTAAGATGACGAAAAGAAAACTCTTCAAACCGGCCATGAATGTTTCAAAAGCCAGAAAAATTTGTTATTGTTTTTTTTTGGTTTCCAAATTTTATTTTAAAAAACCATTATTTATCATGCACGCATAGTGAAGTACATCAAGTCAATCAGGTTAACATCATTCTTATCCAATTCATCATTAGTACGTCATTTGGTCTCACAAGCTTGCGTCAATCAATTTTAAAATGCCTCCTACGTTAAGTATTTATAGAAAATTGGAATTATCGAGCCTGTTTCCCATTTAGGCGGTAATTTCAGTTTTCAAAAACCTATTTCTTTTAAACCCCGAAAAATGATCTCAGTTTAAATATTTACATTTCAGCTCTCGGCATTGAGAGGTGTTTTTCAAATAGTATAAAAATGTTCGTCAAATCTTCTTTTTTTTTCAAATCTTCTTTTTCAAATCGATATAGGAAAAAGTATGAGAAGAAAGCATTTACTCCAAGCCTACACATTGCGTTTCCTCATTGGAATGTATGAACAATAACCACAACAGGGTTTCAAAACAACAGCATTTTTGAACTCCTTCGAGCTCAGGTGGCGTAAGACATAAATTTGAGAAAAATTTAAAAGAGCCTATTTCTGCAACAATTTTGATGATCAAACAACTTTGGTGATCAAACAAAAAGCTTTCGGCAGATGTTTGATGCGCTCAGAAAACTTTATTTGCGATAATTTTTTATTTGCGATAATTTTTCACTTTACAACAGTTTCTGCCAACTGTCGATCATGTTTTTTTCTGCAATTGCAATTTTCGTCTCCGCCTTTATCTAAATCGCGTTTATCAATCTAAATTGTTTTTCGTATCTTAATTTGGTACTTGGTTAGTGTGAAATTGATTTTTCATGAAAAAAAAACGTGAAATAAAACGTAAGGAAAATGTTGAAACAAATATTATTCTACTGATGTGTGCTAGAACCGCGTTATTACTGTGCTGATTTAAATTGAACGGACACGACGAACATTATTGGAAGTTTTAAATGCGTTTTTTTTTCAAATTGGGTGAGGATAACCGGGTTATTTGATACGAAAGTTGTATCACAAGAAGCCTCTAACGCAGTACAACCAAGTTCTAGAAAGGTACAATTTCAAAGTATGTAAGAGAGAGTATATTTTTGGTTGATAGCCAAAAAAGGTCATGCTCACTATATAAAAATAAAGCATTTTTGAACTCCTTCGAGCTCAGGTGGCGTAAGACATAAATTTGAGAAAAATTTAAAAGAGCCTATTTCTGCAACAATTTTGATGATCAAACAACTTTGGTGATCAAACAAAAAGTTTTCGGCAGATGTTTGATGCGCTCAGAAAACTTTATTTGCGATATTTTTTTATTTGCGATAATTTTTCACTTAACAACAGTTTCTGCCAACTGTCGATCATGTTTTTTTCTGCAATTGCAATTTTCGTCTCCGCCTTTATCTAAATCGCGTTTATCAATCTAAATTGTTTTTCGTATCTTAATTTGGTACTTGGTTAATTTGAAATTGATTTTTCATGAAAAAAAAACGTGAAATAAAACATAAGGAAAATGTTGAAACAAATATTATTCTACTGATGTGTGCTAGAACCGCGTTATTACTGTGCTGATTTAAATTGAACGGACACGACGAACATTATTGAAAGTTTTAAATGCGTTTTTTTTTCAAATTGGGTGAGGATTACCGGGTTATTTGATACGAAATTTATATCACAAGAAGCCTCTAACGCAGTACAACCAAGTTCTAGAAAGGTACAATTTCAAAGTATGCAAGAGAGAGTATATTTTTGGTTGATAGCCAAAAAGGTCATGCTCACTATATAAAAATAAAGCATTTTTGAACTCCTTCGAGCTCAGGTGGCGTAATACATAAATTTGAGAAAAATTTAAAAGAGCCTATTTCTGCAACAATTTTGATGATCAAACAACTTTGGTGATCAAACAAAAGTTTTCGGCAGATGTTTGATGCGCTCAGAAAACTTTATTTGCGATAATTTTTTATTTGCGATAATTTTTCACTTTACAACAGTTTCTGCCAACTGTCGATCATGTTTTTTTCTGCAATTGCAATTTTCGTCTCCGCCTTTATCTAAATCGCGTTTATCAATCTAAATTGTTTTTCGTATCTTAATTTGGTACTTGGTTAGTGTGAAATTGATTTTTCGTGAAAAAAAAAACGTGAAATAAAACGTAAGGAAAATGTTGAAACAAATATTATTCTACTGATGTGTGCTAGAACCGCGTTATTACTGTGCTGATTTAAATTGAACGGACACGACGAACATTAT